ATAAGAAAGGGGAATGAAGATGGAGAAGTGTTTGGTTAGCTGAAGATCCTGATACAAATGTAAAGTTTTTCTAATTTTTGAAATTCACATGATGAATGTTCTGACCCAAGCTTGGCCCTAGGGCTAGGGTAGTGTTTCTCAAACTTGAGAGTGCATTAGAATCACTGTTAAAACACAGACTGCTGCACACAACACCCTGATTTTCTGAATCACTAGGTCTGGGATGAAACCAAAAATTTGTGTTTCTAAGAAGTTTCCAGATGATGCTAATGCTGCTAGTCCGGGACCACACAGTAAGAACCACCGGTTTAGACTGGGCAATAACTAGTAAAGAAAATTTATCAGCACCGCACTCTACCGAGTGAGCCACAGGCCGGCCCTAGTAAAGAAAATTTAAAAAGTAAGTCCTCATACCACCGCCTCCCAACCTTCTAGTCCGGGACCACACAGTAAGAACCACCGGTTTAGACTGGGCAATAACTAGTAAAGAAAATTCAAAAAGTAAGTCCTCATACCACCCCCTCCCAACCTTCATCTAAGAATAGTAATTTTTGTTTGGATATTATTGTTTTCACTTCTTTTCAACCCAACACATATTAACCGAGCGCTACCATGACTCAGGCACAAAGCACTGGGGATACGACCTTGAACAAGACAAGGATCTTGGTCTTCAAGGAACTTCAAACCTTTTGGGGGATACAATCAGATAAATTGGGAATCACCATGTCAAGGGAGAAGTCTCCTGAAAGAGCTGAGTCCAGCTACATGAGGAGCCCATAAGTGGTCAGAGGGATGTTGTGGGGAGGAACGACTGGGAGGTAACCAGGCGAAGAAGCTTCCACAGTGGTAAAATTCCATGCATAAGGTCTTGGTGCTTTCAAGAAATTGACAGACATTAGTATGGCTGCAGGGTAGGCAGGGAAGAGAGTTTGGAAAGAGCCTGCTGGCTGCAAATGGGGATGATCTCTATGCTTTGAGGTTTTGAACTGAGTTCCTGTAATGGAAGAACTTTTGTCTTTTCTGTGTCCGGTGTGGGGGAGTGGACTCCTCTGGGTGAGTCACCACCAAATGCCCAAAGGTGGGTGCAGCCTTCCTTCCTGCAGTGGCCAGGGCCTGGTGCCCACTGTGCTGACCACCTTCCCATGCTGCTGCAGACAGGGTGGGCTGGAAGCCAGAAATGAGTAGGAGCCCCCTGGTTGGGTGGGAGGGAGGGGAAGGTATAAAGCAGGAAGAGGTTTGAAGCTTCATAAGTAAAGGCCCGTTGCTGTCTGGAGGATCGTGAGTGGGAGTGGTGGGTGTGGAGGAGGAAGGCAGGACTGCCTGGCCGGATGCAAGCAGGTTCCTGAGTGCGAAGGTACTCAGACAAGGAAATGCAAACTTTCCAGGGTCAGAGAGGACTTATCTTACCGTAAAGGGATTTGGAGCTCTGCAAAGCTCTATCTAGGTGAAGCTTGCTGTCCAGAAACATATACTTTGGGAAAGTGACCATTCGAGGAGGTATTAGGACTTTCTTTGGTAATTTCTTCACCCATTATAGAGCTCC